GATATCTGCCTTATCTGCCTGCTCAAAAAATAAGGTCTGGGAAGGGGCCCCCCTTTTTGTCCCCCAGAAGGTCCACTTAGCAGGACCAGCTGGCAGTTCCCCTCTCTATATTTAGTATACCATGGATAGTGCATTGTTTAATTTTAATTTAATGCTCATGGCTCAAAACAGCACATATATCAGCTCATCTATCTCAGAACAGTTTACATGGTGAATTATAACATTTTGAAATAATTAATGTGTCATTACATTACATTATTGAGACATATTTTCCATGAGAACTAACATTTGACTTTACGATGGCCTCTGACATCTTCAATGGCATGAGGGGCCTTAGGAGCTGGGTTCGGTCAGAGCCTGACTATCCCTGGCCCAATAGAAAAAAATCTGCCACACCGAGAGCAAATGCCAGGCAGAGCCATTATCATGGGAGGTGATGTTTAGTAAGGAACCAACACGATTTGGCAGAGAAAGCTAAAGGCTTGTAAAACTGCAACTTCCATGATTCCATGGCATTGAGCCATGATTGTTAAAATGATGTCAAACTGCATTAACAGTACAGTGAAAGAGCACTCCAAGAACCTACATAATCCTTTGCGATTTATGAGCATCCCTGTGCAAACAACTTGCCATGTTGTTTCTTTAGTGCGGAAGGTTTACGAGAGACTGAAAATAAATGCATTTGTTTTCTTTCATACTCTGATATGGTAGGACTCAACCCAAAAAAGGGTACATCTTCTTGACTATAATTTCAGTAGGCCCTCCATGTTTGCAGTTTTGAGGATTTTATTATTCATGAATTTGATAAAAATGTTCTCTTTTGAAACCTCTAGGTCCTCCATGGTGACTCTGTGGTCAACTTCCTTCAGTCATGCTGGAAAAGCTAGAAAAACGTAGAATGGCGCTATCCCAGGTTAAAAAGAAACTTTATTAGTATTTTTTCACTTTCATGGGATGCCCCTAACCCCATTGAATGTGGAGGAATGCTTCTAATCTTGTCGCATTGGAAAGACTGCAACATTTTAGATCAAGCATGGGCAAACTACTGCCCGAGGTCCATATGTGGCCCCCTGGGTGCTTACATCAGGCCCTCCTCATTTTCCCTGTCCTCTTCACATAAGGACATGGTGGTCCACTGCGTCATTCTGCCAAAAAGATGGGGAAGAAGGCACATAGCAGCTAAGAGTCCTCTGGAGTGCTCTCAGTCACTGTGTGTCTCACCCTCCTCCCGACATAAGAGCAGTGCAAGTGTTCTTATGCCAGGAGGACGTCTTGAGGAAGGCACACGGTGGCTGAGAGCCTTCCAGAGTACACTCAGCCGCTGCCTGTCCCACCCTCTTTCCCAGCACAATGCCAAGAGGACAGAGGATGAGAAGGAGGATCATTTCGGTCATTTGGTGTTCCATCTGTCTCCCAGACTAAGGATGGGATGAACAGCGCTGGGAGGACAACCTGAAGATGACCCAGGCACTGCCCTGCTCCCTTCTGGCCCTGCCCTTTCCCAGGGCCATTTAGCATGTGTCTGGCCCCTCCCTCCTGACCCGGCCCTCCTAGCCGGGCCCAAAATGCATCCCCAAGGCAAAAAAGTTTGCCCATGGCTGTTTTAGACAGTAGATTGTGATGGTGGATGAAATTCAAATGTCAAAAACTGTAATATTGTGTGGTCACTAGAGTATATCACCTAAGTTGCTCATGCTAAAAGGGCGAGGTTGGGTTAGGTATAGTAACGGGAAACATCTGTTTGTGGGTTGCCAATGAAATCTGTGCATTAGAGAGAGAAAAGGCAAAGAATGTTTGAAGAACCCTATAGGAAATACATTCTACACATGAATGATTTGTGTGTACAATGTTAAATTGCCGAAACCTGAATAGTATTTTAAGCTGTGGAAACAATTATTTACATTACAGACATAGCGGTGTCTCAGTCTCTCTGTGTCCCAAAGACTTTCTTCCCTGTATATCTCTCCTCCTTTTCTAGTCACTCTTACACAACATCAAAGGAAGAAACCGATCTAACCTGCTGGACGGGAGTTCTACATATTGAGAAACATGGAAATGACAGGTATGTAGATCTTACACAACCCACTCTTCATTTTCTTCCACACACCCCTTTCATAGGAGTGGCTGGGAATGCCCTGATACTCTGGGAATTCACTGTAGTTGACACAGAGATTCCAGACATATCAATATAATGTTATTCATTTCAGTTAGCGAACATCTACTAATTAACAAGGACAAAGATAAGCATTTAGTTAAGGAGGAATTAATAACTGATTCAGATTCCTTTTCCAGTTGTTTTTCTAAAATAAATAAATAAAAGAAACAGCATCAACAGCACAGACAATGCCTTCCTGCAACCTTTTATAATAATATGGAAAAATAAATATTTCACCATATTTCTTCTCTTATATCTGTTATCATACACCATGTATTCTTGCACGAAGATGTCATAAATGTGAAGATTGTATAGATTGTTAGGTTCTACCTTCCCCCCACAAAATAATTGCATATCTAAACAGAAAATAATAGAAAATTATCCAAAGATTATGAGAGCACAGAATTAGAGCTTACCTTTTCTAGGAAATGTGGGAATGGTGAAAAAGGCCAACATACCACTCACTACCATTGTATATCATGTCTAGCTAACTGGACATCTGGAAAACAGTGTCCAATTCTGGGCACCGCAATTGAAGGGAGATATCGACAAGCTGGAATGTGTCCAGAATATCAAAATTCTGGAGAACAAGCCCTATGAGGAGCAGCTTAAAGACCTGGGTATGTTTAGCCTGCAGAAGACAAGTCTGAAAGGAGACATGATGAGGACCATGTATAAATATGTGAGGGGAAGTCATAGGGAGGAGGAGGCAGGCTTGTTTTCTGTTTCCCTGGAGACTAGGATGCAGAACAATGGCTTCAAACTACAGCAGTGGTTCTTAACCTGTAGGCCATGAGGACGAAAATCTGGTCCGTGAGCTTCCTTCCTCTACTTATTTATTTATTTCCACTTTTTTTGCGCTGCCTGCCATTCCTTCCCTATTGCCAATCAGAATCACAGAATCATAGAGATGGAAGAGACCTCATGGACCATCCAGTCCAACCCCCTGCCTAGAAGCAGGAATATTGCATTCAAAGAACCCCTGACAGATGGCCATCCAGCCTCTGTTTAAAAGCTTCCAAAGAAGGAGCCTCCACCACACACAGGAAAGGAGATTCCACCTGAACATGAGGAAGTACTTCCTAACTGTGAGAGCTGTTCAGCAGTGGAACTCTCTGCCCCAGAGTTGTGGTGGAGGATTCTTCTTTGGAGGCTTTTACACAGAGGCTGGATGTTCATTTGTTACTTACTTAGGCAATCCCTTGTTGTCCGAGTAAGACTGTCTTCCAAGATCAGTGGTGGGTACATAGATGGTGGTGGGTACATAGATGACTGTAGAGTCCTATTCTTGACCTGTATGTTCTACTGCAGTGAGGGCATTGGTTTGCAGGTGGAAGACGGTCCCGGTCGGGGTTGGCTTGATGCACCTTCCTCTTGCCACATTTCTCTCTTTCGCCCTCCATTCGTACCTTTTCAAATTTTACAACACTGCTGGTCACAGCTGACCTCCAGCTGGAGCACCCAAGGGCCAGGGCTTCCCAGTTCTCAGTGTCTATGCCAGAGTTTTTAAGGTTGGCTTTGAGCCCATCTTTAAATCTCTTTTCTTGTCCAACATTCCATTTTCCATTCTTGAGTTCGGAGTAGAGCAACTGCTTTGGGAGATGGTGGTCGGGAAGGTGGGGGAAAGTGCAATATGAGGGAAACAGTGTAGGTGAAACAACAGGACTGGAATATATGGTCACTCTCCAAAGGCACATCGGAAAAGCCAAGTCTTTAGATCTTTCTTAAAGGCTGCTAGAGTGGGGGCTTGCCTAATCTCACCAGGTAGCAAGTTTGAGTTCCATAGCCGAGTGGCCACAGTGGAGAAGGCTCTCTCCCTCGTTCCCCCAAGCCATGGCTGTGATAAAGGAAGAGGTGAGAGGAGGGCCTCCCTCGAGAATCGGAGGGAACGTGCAGGTTGTGGAAGGAGATGCGGTCACGAAGGCAGGCAGGTCCCAAACCGTTAGGGCTTTATAGGTGATAACCTGCACCTTGAATTGGGACTGGAAAATGAACAGCAGCCTATAGAGCTCCTTAAACACAGGGGTTGACCACTCCCTGTAATTCGCCCTAGTTAGTAGTCTGGCTGCTGAACGTTAGACCAATTGAAGTTTCCGGGCTGTCTTCCCCACATAGAGTGCATTGCAGTCAGGCCCATAGCCAGGATTTCGTTTCGGGGGGGGGGGGCCTCGGGGGGGGTGAGTTTCTGGGGGGGCTGAGTCTGAGTGAAAGAGGGTCTACCCTAGAAAACCTTTTGTATCATTACCCCAATACCTATGCATATGGGATATATTGAGTATGGTGATCAGATCATGATATGAATAAACATAACAGTTTAAATAATGCACCAGTAAGGCCTTTTCGTGAACCACCATGAGAATTTTGGGGGGGGGGGGCTGAAACCCCTCAAGCCCCCCCCCTCCCCCTGGCTACATGCCTGATTGCAGTAGTCCAGTCTAGAGGTAACTAAGGTGGGGACCACCATGGTTAGCGCCTTGGTATCTCTATGGATGCCCCGGATCTCAAACACTCTCTGCTTCATTTGGAAACATGCTGTACTTGCAGAGCTCAGGTGGTGTTGTATTTCAGTGTCTATGTTGACTTGTGTGGAGAGGTGGCTGCCAAGGTAGTGGAAATGGTCAACATTTTCTAATGTTAAACCATCAAGCTGTATTTCTGGCCTTGCAGAAGGATTGGGTGGTGACTGTCCATCTGTTGGGGGTGCTCTGAATCGATTGTGCTTTTCCTGCATAGCAGGGGATTGGACTGGATGGCCCATGTAGTATCTATGATTCTACCCTTGGGGTTGTCCCTGTGAGCCCCCAGAAAAGTGAGGAAGGTGCAGACCGGAGAGGCCTTCCTTTCTCGCCTCTCCTCCTTCCCCCTTTCGAAAGGCTCCGAAGCAGAGGAAGCCAGGCAGAGAGAGAGAGAGAGGCTCGCCTTGCCCGACGAGGAAGTGCTGCTGCCTCTCAGCTGAAACCCCAACGCGCTGAGGAAATCGCTGGAGAGAAAATGAGGAAGCGAGCGCTTCACTCATCCTGAACGGCCTTTGGGGCCGAGGCGGGGGGCAGCGAGTGTGGGGCAGGCAGCCCAGGGCCAGAAGACGGGTCTTGTCGGGCTCCTGAGCTGGATTTGGGAAGGACAGACACAGGAGAAACTTGGAGCCGTGGCTGGCGCTCTCTTCTCGCAAGGCGGACGGAGGAGGAAAAGAGAGAGAGAGAGAGAGAGAGACTCCCTTGGCTTCCTCGAGCTTCCCCTCTCCCTTTCCCACCAGGTAAGAAGAGCCCAAGGGGACCAATTAGGGAAACTGGGACTGAGCGGACGGAGGAGGGAGAAGGCTTTCCTTACTCTGTGGTCGCCAAAGTGGGGAACTTTAGGGTCACCCCAAGGCACGTCTATACTATAAGCTCGGTTGGAAATGTCACGAAAGAGACGAAAGGACTGGGCTGCGTAGAAGGGAAGTGTTTGTTGCGTTGCCCTTGACGTGTGTCTACAGTCTGACTAGAGTTGCGCCTTCACCAGAAACCAGGCATGGGCCAACTTCGGCCCTTCAGGGGTTTGGACTACAACTCCCACCGGCTGTTAGGAATTGTGGGAGTTGTAGTCCAAAACCCCTGGAGGGCCGAAGTTGGCCCATGCCTGGTGTAATGGTTTCTTGTCTGACAACGAGTGTTAGTGCCCCACCCAACTAGAAAACTTAGAATCCTAAAGCCTTGGCGGTTAAAGTGGGCTCAAGCCGCGTTAATTCGGCAATGTAGACAGAGTCAGGTGCGTTTCTATACTATGAACCTTTTCAACTTTTGGTTGTCGCTGAGGAAGAATCATAGAAGGTGTTGAAGTTAAGATGGAAGTTTGTAGTTTAGTGGGGTGTGTGGTTTAGTGAGGCTGTTAAAGTCTCCTCCCTAAACTAAAAACCCCATAATTCTGTAAGACTCTGGCACAAACCAGTAAAGGTGGTCCCAGTGGTGATCGGCACACTGGGTGCAGTGCCTACAGACCTTGACCTGCACTTAAAACAATCTGCGCTGACAAAATTATCAACCATCAGCTGATAAAGGCCATCCTACTCAGATCTGCATGTATTATTCACTCCCATGTATTATTAGAATATTAAAGTGCAATAACAGATATGGAATATGTGCAATTACTATTGGAATGGCCCTGGACTACAATTATGGATGGCATTTTTTTAAAATATTAAATGCAATGTTTTTAAAATATTTATTATATAGTAATCTTTAATTACATGCTAATGTTAATGTTTATTGGAATTATATGTTGCTCTAAGGCAGAGGTCCTCAAACTTTTTAAACAGAGGGCCAGGTCACAGTCCCTTAAACTGTTGGAGGGCCAGATTATAATTTGAAAAAAAAAATGAATAAATTCCTATGCACACTGGACATTCCATAGATATATAAACCCCATTTTCCTAGTTTCCAACAGACCTCACAACCTTTGAGGATGCCTGCCATAGATGCAGGCAAAACGTCAGGAGAGAATGCTTCTAGAACATGGCCACACAGCCCGAAAAACCTACAACAACCCTGCACATATCTCATTTGTAATGCAAAAAACACTTTAAAACAACACAATAATTAAAATGAAGAACAATTTTAACAAGTATAAACTTATTAGTATTTAAATGGAAAGTGTGGACCTTCTTTTGGCTGATGAGATAGGATTGCTGTTGTTGTTGTTGTTGTTGTGTGCTTTCAAATCGTTTCAGGCTTAGATTGACCCTGAGCGAGGGCCGAGTAAATTACCTTGGAGGGCCATATCCGGCTCCTGGGCCTTAGTTTGAGTACCCCTGCTCTAAGGGATTGAATAATTGACTATATGTAAGCCACCTTGAGTTCCCTTCAGGGTTATAAATAGACATAATAATAATAATAATAATAATAATAATAATAATAATAATACCACCTAACTGTCTGGGTTGATTCCCAACCTCAAAAAACGCTCCAGGTTCCCCGTTCCTCAGAGGTTTCCAAGGACATAACACTGACACAAGGCCTGCCAAAATTGTCCAACCCTAAAGTTTCCTATGAGTCCTTTCAAGTGAAAATATTATGGGGTTTTCTTGGCAAGATTTGTTCAGAATGGCTTTCCCTTGCCTTCCCTTTGAGGATGAGAGAGGCCCCTTCCACACAGCATTATAAAATCAACACTGAACTGGATTATATGACAGTGTGAACTCAGATAATCCAGTTCAAAGCAGACATTATGGAACATCTGCCTTGATATTCTGGGTTATATGGCTGTGCGAAAGGGCCCAGAGTGTGACTTCCCTATGGTCACACAGCAGGTTTCAGTGGCTGAGTGGGAATTTGAACTCTGGTTTCCAGTGTCATACCCCAGCGCTCAAAGAGATACATACACTTTGCTTTAAATTCTAGGGAAGTTAAATTTGCCCGTAAATTAGAGTTTCACAATATAGCGAGCAAAAGATTTAACTTCCCTATAACTTAAAGCTAGTTGTTACATTGTTGTTGTTTTAAATAATGTTGATGCAGGAGGTGGGCATAAAAAACTTTTAAAACTGTGTTAAATTGTTTAAATCATGTAAACGGGTGTTTTGCAGACTCAGTTCAGTTATGCAGAGTGTAAAGCTGTGTTTCCTAACCTGCAGGTCAAGACCCCTAGAAGGGTCGCGAGAGGATGTCAATTGAGTATTTGTGCTAAGTTTGGTCCAGATCCGTTCACAGTGCTCTCTGGATTTGGGTGAACTGCAACTCCAAAACTCAAGGTCAATGCCTACAAAACCCTTCCAGTATTTTCTGTTGGTCATGGGAGTTCTGTATGCCGAGTTTGGTTCAATTCCATCTTTAGTGGAGTTCAGAATGCTCTTTGATTGTAGGTTAACTATAAATACCAGCAACTACAACTCCCAAATGACAAAATCAACCCCCCCAACCCCCACTAGTATTCAAATCTAAGTGTATTCGTTATCTGTGCCAAATTTGGTGCAGCGAATGAAAATACATCCTGCATATCAGATATTTGCATTATGATTCACAACAGTAGCCAGATTAAAGTTATGAAGTAGCAACAAAAATAATTTTATGGTTGGGGGTCACCACAAAATGAGGAACTGCATTAATGGGTCGTGGCATTAGGAAGGTTGACAAACACTGGTGTAAAGGGGTTTCAGGCTTCATTCTTTAGACAAATTGTGGTTGAAGCATCAACTATTGTTTTTAGATTTGTTTACGCTTAGTTGAACTACTTTACCACATCCAGGTATATACAATGTTATAGTAAATGTAGTCCTGCTGATTTCCATATGGTTAATCTAAGTTATATCCATATGCTGTAATCAGATATACATTTAAATCTGTGTGCCATTATAATAATTATTATTATTTCTATTACTAATACCAACATTGATAATACCAACATTTGTGCCAAGTTTGGTCCAGATCCATCATTGTTTCACAATGCTCTCTGGATGTAGGTGAACTACAACTCAAAACTCAAAGTCCATGCCCACCAAACCCTTCCAGTATTTTCTTTTGGTCATGGGAATTTTCCTGGAGTGATATTCTGATCCGTGAAAACACAAAAGGATAATATTAACAGGATTTGCTTTCACAGAGTGTAGCTAATGGTCTTCATTTCAAATTAGCAGTTCCTGTGTTTAGGATGCTATAACTCAATGAGTTGTTTACATTTTTAAAGTTATGTTATAGAATTAAAAAATCTTACTGCACAAATAGTACAATATATCAAGTACTGTTTTCATTAATTTTGTGCAGTTTAAAATAAAACTACAGACAGTGTTTTAACTCATAAACTTTAAAATTAAGTATACATTTTTACCATATATTACTTGTATTTTCTCAAATCTAATGTGCACCTCAGTTTTCAAAACCCTGAAACAAAAAAAAGTATTTGCTGGTGAATGCAATGCACAGTGGCAAAAAGTGCACTCTATGTAATTTAGCCAAAAAAAGGTGCACATTACAGTGGCTGCATGCTTGGAATTCCTACTTTTGAAATTATTTATTTCCTATATTTTTCCCTGCTCTTCTCATCCTGAAGGGGATTCAAAGCAGCTTACAGTTTAGCCACTTCAGTGGCACATTGCGAATACATAGTGTATAAAATATATCACATTAAACAAATAACAAATAACATATAAATACAATAAAACTATTAAAAAAACTGTTTAAACCATATTGCTAAATCCATCGTCATCCTTCATGCTGCAGCATTCATATCAATACTGTATTACATTGTTCCCGAATGCCTGGTCCCAAAGCCAGGTCTCAACTCTTTTTCTAAAACACAGGAATAGGGGAGTCAATCTAATGTCATTGGGGAAGGAGAAACAAACATGTTAGAATAGCAAAGCTTTCAGCAATGGAAAAGAAAATCTTGGGGTGCATCTATGCTATAGAATGAATCCACTTTAACCACCCTGTCTCAATGCAGTAGGTTCGTGGAACCTGGGATTAGTTTGGGATTATGGGAGCTGCCAAAAAGTGCTGATGCCTAACCAAACTACAAATCCCAGCATTGCATAGCATTGAACCATGGCAATTAAATTCGAGATGGTGTCCCTGAAATAGGAGCTCCAGGTGCTCCTGAAGTAGCTTCCCCTTTTGCTTTGACTCAGATTACCATATTACGTGAATCTACTGCACGTCCTAATTTTGGGAAGGTAATGTAGCCCAAAAAAGGTGAGCATTAGATTCAAGTAAATACAGTGTGTGTGTGTGTATGTATGTGTGTGTGTGTGTGTGTGTATAAAGAAATACACAACTTATTTCAGGCATGTGTTTATATAGTTGGATTGTGGTTTCAATTGTAACACAACCAAAGTACTGCATATAGGTAAAAAGTGTCTAATTGCTGGAAGATTTCTACCGTGGGAAGGCTTGGTTTAACCAAAGTTCCCTTCAGGCGTGCTACTTATTCCATTTGCTGCTTCATTGCAGATTCCTCTTTGTTAATAAAGTAGTGGCCATTTTATTATTATTTTATTTATTTAAAACATTTATATTCCGCCCTTCTCACCCTGCAGGGGACTCAGGGCAGAGCACAACAAATATACGGCAAATATTCAATGCTGGGACATAAAACCATAAATATATACAAATATTAAAATCACTTATATTCAGATTAAAAGTTGCTTAAAACCCACCTCTATATCATTATTCTGTAGTTATAATACAAAAGACCACATATGGTGAGGCAAACTCTATAATCAAATATAAATAATAAACTTGAACCAAATGTTAGGCCAATAAAACAATGAGAATGCTAAAGAAG